ATGCTACTTTTTTGGTAAAGGAATTTACAGTTTAAGTCTTGCTCTTGTACTAAAAGATATGTTCCACCATATAGCAGGGACAGAACCAGTCAAGAAATTATTCTCGAGTGACCTGTAATACAAGTCATTACAGAAATCAGATCCAGTCTGCATAGAAGTGCAATATTATACGAAATACAGATTTAGGGAAGTTAGGAGATTCTCACAATTTCTGAAGTGAAGGAAGATCAGAGAAATTCTCAGGAATAGATCCATTAAGCTGGTTATCTGACAGATCGCTGCAATAAATAATGAAAATTAAACAGGAAAAGTTTATAAATTACTCAGATTAAACACAGACAGTGATATGTAATAATTTTTTTGTGTCACTTTTATTTAAAGTTAACATGCTGATGCAGCAAGAAGTATAAATAGAACAAGTTACAAGTTTTTTTTTTGGACAGACAAGTTAAAAGTTTACTTGGGCCATTTGCATACATTGTAGTCATATTGTGAGAGAGTCTATGTGAAGGTATGGATCCACTCAGTTGATTCCAGCTTAGATCTCTGTGCAATGAACCCAGTAAAAGGTTAGATAATAGAGGTATAAATAGAAGAGTAAATAAATGCATTATAGTGTCCATTAATTCAAGGTTGTTGAGCCATCTCCATACTTACAGATAAAGAAGGTTAGGTATCCTGCTAAAATCAGGAATTTCTCCCTGCAAGCTACAATTCCTAAGACTTCTGCCAAATCAGAAAGAAGGAAAAAGTAAAACTATTAGCAACCCTTTCAAGCAAATTTATGCAACATGTAATAAACACAAAATTAAAGCACTTAAAACATCTCGAGAAGTGGAAATACTGGATTACAGAGGTCATTTGGATATCAGTGAAATTCTAAAATTCCTATTGGAATTACCTTGCATACGACCTGGATCACCAAATTAATGCAACTTGCTTATAGTCCTAATGTAAAGCAGTATAAACATGAACCATCGATTCAACAAGAGAAAGATACGAATACTAAAACTTACATTTTTGCTAATTGGGAAAAGTTTCCATAAGAAGCTGGAATCTCAGTCCCCCTGAAGTTGTTGTTATCAAATTGACTGCAAATGGAAGAGAAAACAATAATTTCCATCAACCAAGAAGAAAAT